TTCCGAGGCCTAACTTTAATACTCACAATGACCCCGGGAGACGGGACTTATTGTTACCCACAAATCCAGATGGGGCTCAGATTGGTTAAATAACCTGCCCAGGGTCACAGAACCAGAAAATGACCAACTGAGGTTTGAACCAGGTCTGGTTTCAAAGCCCCTGCTCCATCTACCACACCTGCTCTGAGGGGATCGGGTGGTCATGAATCTCCTTCCTAGGGGTCTCTATGAACAGGAAGCGGATGGGCCAGGGCCAGCTTCCTCAACCAAGATTGCTAGTTTCTTTCCGGGGCTGATCTGTGAGTCAGAGGCCAGGAGAGACTTGTTCTGTCCTGACTTGCAGGCTGACCCTTACTTTGGAACCAGGATTTTTTTTTTTGCCCTGCAGTGGATGTGGGGGGTGAAGAGCTCACGTGGGTAGCTGTGATGTCAGGGCCTGGCATACAAGGAAGGGGCTGCAGAAACAACAGAAGAGTATTTTCTCCAGCACAGATCAATGTGCCCTTGGGAGGGTCTCAGCCTGAAGTCAGGTGACCTGCAGGTTTGGCCTGAGAAGTAGTGGGCAGAGCTTTGTGGCTGATGCTACTGTCCATGGCGATACTCAGTTTGAGTGGTGAGGCCCCGCCCAGGGCCCGGCACTGTGGCTGGGCTGGTTTAGGGTCCACAACAGGTAAAGCAGAGCAGCCGCAGTGGGTGGGTCACCCCACCCTGTCAAACTGCTTCTCCTCTAGGAGAGGAGACATCCGTCTGCCAAGACCTGGGGCCCCACAAACCTGAGGCAGAGCTATGGAGAACCGAGCCTGCATTTAAACCTCAAACTGGAGCCCAGATTTGAGTGCTGCCATTTGAGGCAGATCCTCGGGTACGAAACTGCCTGCTTCAAACTTGCTCCAGGACTTCCAGAAGTCCTCTTGGGAATCACTTTTGAGGCCTGTCATGAGACAGCATCGACTATTTTCCTAACCTGTGGCCTCTACTCTGCACCGGAATTGGCGGTGTGTGACGTGGCCGCCCACCTGACCCTCCCAACCTGGCTTCCAGTGAGTTCTGGCTGTTCCCACATGTGGAATTGCTTTCAAGGGAAGGACACAGCCCACGGAAGGGATTCACAAGGATGTGCTACAGGCTGGGAAGGTGGTTTCCAGAAAGCGAGTTGGAAGGAATTTGAAGCCACTCTAAGCGGCACCGGATTTGGTTGGTTGTGTAAGTTCTGGGATGTTGTAAACTGTCTGTGAGGATAAGGCTGGTGGGATTCCCCTCCACTTCCAGATGACTGGGAAGAGAGAAGGCAGCTGCACTCCACTCTCAGAGTGGGGTGCACACCTAGGCTTCCCCCGAGGAAAGTGCAGGGCTGGCGTGTCTGGCCTGAGCGCTGGCTCACCGCGGGTCTGGGGCGCAGGATTCCCTAGTTCTGCTTGTGATCTCGGCCCACACCTCCTTTCTAGGCTTCAGCGTCTCCAGGGGCGACAAGGGAATGGACTCATTCACCTCTGCCAGCTTCTCCAGGTACAGTGAGGAGAGAAACAGCATCTGCTCTAGCTGAAGGGGTGGTTTGGGGCATTTTCAGTAATCGTCACTCAGGGAGTGCCTGGTGTGAGCACAGGCTCTGGGCTGAGCATCTCACACACAGGGTCCTCTCCACAAGGCCCTGAGGTAGCCTATTATTATATCCTTATGCAGATGAGGAAACACTTGTTCAGAGAAATTAAGTGATCTGCCCAAGTGAAGCAGCAAAGAAGAGGACGACCTCTGTCTATCTGACCCAGACCCTGATATGAATGTGGCTGCAGTCAGCTGACACCTCCCACCACACCATCCTGTGTCATTCTCAGACCCATGCAAGATACTCTGTGACACCGACATAGAGGGAAGCCCCTGCGTTCTAGAGCACCTACAGAGGAACCCCAATTACTGCCACCGTCCAGTCCCAGAGGGGCCTGCGGAGGCTCGCCCCCTCCCCAGTGGGGCCCTTCCACCCCGAGATCTGCTGCCTGACCTCTTCTGTGCAGAGTGAGGTGCCTTACTAGCCCCCTGGGTGAGAATACCCTGGACAGAAGCCAGCCTTTCACTGGAGTATTCTCATCGGCCAGGAAGATTTTTCTCAAATTTTACTTTCTGTAGTTTGTTCAATTATAAAATTGTATTATTCATTCACTTATTCAGTAAATTCACTTATTGTGCATCTACTCTGATTCCAGCTCTGTGGATCAGGGTGAACAAAACAAAATCCTTGCTCTCATGCAGTTTAGCTGGCTTTTCCATATAAATGTTGCTAAACCTCACCCTGACCTGCACGGCCCGCCTGTGGGACTTGCTGGTGGGGTCTGGCTTCCCCTCTGTCCCTGCCCAGTTTTCAGTCCCTCAATGGCATTGCAGACAGGAGCTTGTCCACACCCTGCTTGCCCAGCTTCAATGTGCTGAGTGATGGGGGGGAGGGTTCATCCTCCTTCTCAAGTCCCCTGCCCTCTGTCCCCTCATGCTCATCCTTCGTGTGTGGCTGAGCTCCGCCCTCCCTCAGCCTCCAGCAGGGGTCCAGGCCTGCCATCTGCCCTCTTCTCATGACATGGCACCCCAACACCCTTCCTGGCCCCTAAAAATACACTGGGGGGAAAGGACTGAGAGAATGTCAGTTGCTTTTCTGCCCAGCTGTCACCTGGAGGGTGGGGGGTCCTAGACCCAGGCTGTGACCCTTACCGCCACTGCCCACAGGCTCTGGAAGATCTGCCCCGGGCTGCTGTGCTGAAGTATGGAGCTTCCCGGGATGCAGGGAAGCACCCTAAAGTTCTGTTGCCAGAATGGAGTGGCCCTGAGAGAAGCCGAGTGTGCGGGGCAGAGGGCAATGTGCACAGAACACGCCAAAATGTCTGGGCTCCCCACCCTTGTCATCATTCCCACACTACAGGTCCCAGTGAATCCCCAGGAGAAAGATAATGGGGCTGTTGTTGAAAAGAATATGATAATAAAGCTCATTCAATCACTTGTGTCAACACTCCAGCTGAATGAGAGGCCAAAGAGCCAGGCTGGCCAGCCAGGGAAGGTCAATATTGACTCAGGCCTGCCTCTTGGGCCCGGTTCCAGCCTGCAAGTGCCGTGCTGTCGTCCAGCAGTGGCTCAAGCCAGACTAGCCCTCTGACCTCTGTTCACTGTGCTAACTGCCTCCCCAGTCCTCAGCACTGGGATTTTCTGGGCACAGGGTTATCTCCAAGGGAAGAGTGAAGGATGGCCTTCCTGAAAGGGCTGCAGCCAGGCACTGCTTCACTGTCCCAGATTTCCAACAGCCTCCACATATAGAGGCCTGAGTCCTCATCACAATGTCCTCTGCCTGGCCAGAAAGAACCTCCAGAGCCCCCCAGTAATAGGATTAAGTCCCCTAGTCACACGAAAAGATTATATTTTTATAGCCTTCAACTTACTATATCTCTCCATTGTTCCCTGCCTCACTCCAGGCTCACAATACTGCTGTGAGATGGGCCAAACCTGTTTTACTGGGTGAATTTTAAGGACAGCAGGAGGGTGGGAGAGGATGGAGGAAACAAGAAAGGGAACCCACACATATACATGTATATAGTGCTTAGCATGTGTCAGATACAGCGCTTTTCATTAGCATTTAATGGACCACGTGGATTTAATGGTCACAACTCTATAAGGTATATATTATGAGCTCCATTTTACAGGTGAAGAAACTGAGACTGAGAGAGTACTTGTCAGAGATGGTAAGTGTGGAGCTAGGATTCAAACCCACATCTCTCTGACTCCAAGGTCTTCCACCATGCCTGGTGTGCCCAGAGAAGTCAAATGACCCTAGATCACACAACTACTTAGGGCAGGGAAAGGACTGGAAGCCTCAAGCCAGAGGCTCACTATTTCCCAGCCTGCACCAGGAGTAACAGTGTCCAGGGTCACTCACGAACAGGTGAACCTGTGTGACATGTACAGAGCCTGCTGCTATTTTTGCCTCCAAAGCTGGATCCCCTTCCAGAAATGACCCTATCCCTGGGCCATCTCACTATGCATCCTCCACGGACCCTCTGCCTTTACTTTATTCCCATTGCTTTGCTCTAACATCCTCCACGATCTCCTGACACACAGCCAAATGATTCTTAAAGTTCTCTAAGAAAGGAGGGCTCAGGTAGCTTAACCTTTTCCAAAACTGGAGGCTAGGCAGTCCCCTGCTGTGGATGTCCTCCAGTTATCATTGTGACTTCTCACAACTGCCCTACGAGAAAGGCAAGACCATCTCCATGTTATAGATGAGGACATTAAAGTTTGGACAGAAGTAAGGCAATTTGCCTGAAGAATCAAAGGCCAAGTGTCAGAATTTGAATGTAGCTCTTTCTGGTTCCAAACGTTGTGTTCTCAGCCACCGTTCTATATATGGCCTGAGGAGAACTCACAGCAGAACTCACACCAGAATGGGAAGAAACACAGAAAACGCTGCCTACATCCTGGGAACTCTTCATGTCTTAGACCTTGGTCTTCCCAGCAGCATCTCCCTTCCAGGTTGGATGCCACTCACTGGGTCTGGGCAAAGGTGGAGTGATTTTAGCAGGCTGGAGAGCTGGGGAATGAGCTGGAGGGCTGGGATGTGCCGAGCAGCACTTCTCAGCTGGGGCTGCCTCCTGGCCTGCTCAGCACAGAAACTGGGCCTGCGACTGCCTTCCTGTTCTGGAGCCTCTTTCCCAAACAAGAATTCAGAACACTGGCCTTGGTGACACTGCCTCACCCCAGACAGGCATCAGACCTGCCCACAAACAGAGGCTGGGCCAGAGGCCAGGGCGGGGCATTTGAAGCCTTGTGTCTGCTGTGGGCCCAGGGGTGGAAGTAACAACGCACATCCGCTAAGGATTGAAAAATGGCACCTAGAAGGGAGCACTGCCTAACAGCACCAGGCCAGCCCAGGAGGGCCACCTGCCTGCCCACTGTCCCTTCCAGCCTGTCCCTCACTGAGGTCCCGAGAAGGCCCCTGGACACCCTCCCAGGTCTGGAGGTCCCTCACTCACCTCTGGGTTGCCTTCCCCGCCTCCTTTTTCTTCAGTCTCCTCACCCTTCAGTGGGCAGAGCTCTCAGGTACCGAGGAGAGGGAAGACTGGGCACCTTCCCCGGCCAGTCCTCCCAGGCCTGGGTGGAAACAGATCAGAAACTCATTGTGACCAATGTAATAAGTGTCCTCGCAGATTTTGCGACTGGGCGAAACCCAGAGCCTTCTAAACTGCCTCCCCTACCCCCACCTCCTACCCCGGGCCCGCCTCTGACTGAGCCACTGTCTCAGGTGCGAGGGAGGCGGCGGGCTCCCCGCAGGGCGCACAGGGAGGAGGGGGCAGTGGGCGCAGCGCTTCCGGCCCCTCTGCCCGCCGC